TACCACTCAGTGGGCATGGCTGACTGGGTGGATGTGGCCATCTTGACACCACTCACTGGGCATGGCTGACTGGGTGGGTGTGGCTATCTTGACACCACTCAGTGGTCATGGCTGACTGGGTGGATGTGGCCAGCTCGACACCACTCCCCAAACTGCTGGCATGTTTCCCCTTCACACTGAGTAGACCGGGCTGAAGCTACACTGGCCCAATGTTTCCTCTTTGCATTAGGTAGACTGGGCCAAAGCAACACTCCATGGGCTGAATCTGACCACATCATGGGCCGGATGCAGCCCGCATGGCCTTGTGTTTGACACCCCTGATTTAAGTTAGTCAATCATATACTCAAAGGCAATTCCACATTCTAGAGCAACATGCAGGAATCCAATCCCACCAATATGCAAATTGTGGAGTCCTTGGTCCTCTCTGAAAGAGAAAGAATTTGCTTGAAGAAATTTTGCTGTCCAACTAGGTAAGATCTCCCATGCACAACCAAACTCAGAAAGCACTGAGGACCCCTTAGTTCAACTCGTGAGCTACAGAGATTCCCTACTCTTAAGGCAGGAATTCCAATAGCTGAGCGGTAACATGAAAGAGAAAGAATGTCCACAAGTTCACCGTGGAGATAAAATAGTTATAAAAGACTGCTGCGGTTGTTTGTAAATTGTATCGCTACCTATAATTTAATGTATTTGAGCGCTGTAACTAGATTGGAGTGCCTCGCTTGGGGATAGAACTGATGTAATTTTCCGTGTTCACACAATCCCTTTATGAAGAGCTTTCGCTTAAAATATATATTGCAACTGGTTGAGCCAGGGGTTTAGTCTCGTTCCAGGAGATGAGTTCATTGTGAAAGGAGAAAGGCCTGCCACTTGGTAGCCTGGACATCACTCAAATAGCTCATGAGAACATTTCTTCACCGGGATTTAAATCTAGTTAGGGTAATGATATTGATCACACTTGTTGATCTTCTGGGATGGTGGGAATGCATGCATTCATCCTGATCTTCCTTGATCTCTCAATATCCTTAGAGATCACAGTATCTTTCTGGATCAATTTAGGGGTTAGGAGCAGGAGGTTCGATGGTTGTCCTCCTTCCTCTAGGTGAGTTGCAGTCAGAGTTAGTAGAGGACACAGGCAGTAGTGAAATTCATTATTTTTTTACTACCAGTTCTATAGATGTGGCTTGGTGGGCATGACTTGGTGGGTTGGCAGGGGAAGGATACTGCAAAATCTCCATTCCCACCCCACTCTGGGGTCAGCCAGGGGTGGCATTTGCTGGTTCTCTGAACTAGTCAAAATTTCCGCTACCGGTTCTCCAGAACCTGTTGGAACCTGCTGGATTTCACCCCTGGATCCAGGCATCAAACAAACATCTAGACCTAAGATCTAGCCCTAAGTCCCTTTCTTCCCCAGGACTCTGATTTGCTCCATTCCCATCTAACATTCAACCCTCTACAAGATGATCACCCAAGTGGTGCCACTTCAAGATGGAAAGTATAAGAGATGACCTCCCCAAAAGATCTGGACATGAAAGGAGCAAGATATAACTAGAGAACTATATTTTGTCCAACAATTACATTATGGTCTTCTGTTCTATGCCCTTTTCCACTTTCATCCCATTCCCTTTAACAGGCATCACTTTACAGATATTCTTATGCATCGCTTTTGTTTCATTTATATGACTCTTTTCTACGTTTCCTCATTTTATGCTACATTGTGCTGGCTTCAGTGGTGGGATTCAAATCTTTTACTACCGGTTCGGTGGGCATGGCATGACTTTGTGGGCGTGGCAGGGGAAAGATACTGCAAAATCCCCATTCCCTCCCCACTCCACTAACCTGCTTTCCAGCTCCGTTCTCCTGTTGGCTGGGAAGCTGGGAGGCAGTGGGGGCAGGGCCAGCCTACTTGCTGGTTCTCCAAACTACTCAAAATATCTGCTACCAGTTCTCCAGAACCTGTCAGAACTGGCTGAATACCACCTCTGGCTGGCTGGCTTTGGAGCAACACCTAGTAGTTTGCTACTGGGATAATTGATGAAATGATCCCATAATTGGAGTTTGCCCCTGGACTGATAATTTAAAATAGTGTCTTCATCAGATGGGCAATATCTTTATAGTTATTTTTGAATGGATCCCTATAGTCTGTCTCTTTGTGATCATTAAGAGAGGAGAATGACCCAGTTTCTGAACATCAGCTGCGAGGACTACAGGAATCCACTGTGAGAATTCTAACAATGATCATATCCTGCCTTTTCATGCCTTGGGACCTGTGATAAATAATCTCTATGTCTGAATTTGGAAGAATTTTGTCTCTGGCACGAATCCTAACAATGAGAGCTGTTATTCAAAATATTTGCAGATCGTGTATAGAGAAAAGCATCTTTTTGTGCCAAGGATCTCTGTCACGAGCACCGGAGCACCTCCCATTTGATAGAATCACTTTCGAATGCCAGTGCCATCAATCTTCTTTTCAGAAGAGCTTATAATTGGCAAAAACAAATATATGAAACATCTCAAGTCCCTGCCGCTCACAATTTAAATTTCGCTAGTAAAGAGAACAAAACAACCGATAGTTAAACAAAGGGAATGCGGAAGGTAGAAGGGAGCAGGACAAGGTTGATCGGTGATGAATGAAAATAGCAGTAAGTGGAGAACACAAAGCTTTGGATGCGTAGGAGAAGGAGATTTACTGAAGGAGGTGACTAATTCCTCTCTGTTGTCTGGCTTCATGAAGAAGCTTACAGCAATCTGTCAGTCTCCCTCAAATAAGCCAGGGTAAGACCATGAAATCCTTGCAGATTTTACTCCGCTAGTCATTGTTGACTATAGGGGATGCTGATGCTGATCTCCATTTCAAGGCCATTGAGACAGTGCTGTCCGAAGATATTTCTGTGGTCATGTGGCCAGCATGACATCACAGAGCGTTGTTATCCTCCTACCAAGGTGGTACCTATTTATCTATTCACATTTGCACACTTTCGAACCGCTCGGCTGGCAGGAGCTGAGGCGAGGACGGGAACTCAACCCGTCGTGTAGCACTCAGGTCTCGAACCTGGACTGCTGTCTTTCCAGCCGACAAATCCAGAGGGTTTGAGCCACTGCACCACCTGTAATTCTGTTCAGTTCATGTGCACATACGTACATACATACACACATTCAAACAAACATACTATGTTTTCCTCCAATTTTCTCTGTTTGCATGGTAGCAGAAATACAAGATTTTTAAGGAATAGGTCGTTTCTGTTTTAGCAACACACCCCACAATGCAACCCTTGAGTAACTCATGTACCGTTTGTCATCTTTATACCACTGGAATTCTGCTGATGGAACTGCAGAGGCCTCACACTGAAGAATGCCCTTCTGACCCACTGGCACACCCGTGTTCTTGGTTTCTGAGATATAAGGTGGGTCTGCAGAGAAACAAACAAGTTAAGTATCTAGAGAATATATTAACATTGGTTCAAAAACTTTCCTTCCTTGATGGGTGCTTTACAACAAGCCAATAGAGTTAGATTTGTAAGTCCTCTTCGCAAACAGCTGGTGTAGGAAAATAATGCCCAGAACCTGATAAGATTGCTTTATAGCCAATCTGAAAGAAAGAACTTCCCGTTGTGATGATATATTCAACAACATATACAATCCATAATCTCACAGGCATGGAACAATGAATGGTTTTTGGCCACAAACATCTGTAACCTTCAGAGTGATAGCACATCATTTCTTTTCAGATTGTTTGCTAGGGTTACAAGAGGAGGTGCACTCCCGAGGATGGTAATGTGTGTAAGGACGCATAAGTCAACACCACAGCAAATAGATAAGATCATAAGGATTAAGTTAACCTCTAAATCAGTGGTAGTCAACCTGGCCCCTACCACCCTCTTGTGGGCATTCCAGCTTTCATGGTGGGTGGTAGGGGTTTTGTCCGATACTGAAGCACTTTCCTTTTTAAAATTTAATTGACTTCCCTACTTTATAAATCACCATTACTATGGGACCGCTGGGCAGTTAGAAAATTTTACTACTAACAGAGATACAAAAGTGGGCGGTAGGTATAAAAAGGTTGACTACCCCTACTCTAAATGAATATTGTGGTCTGCCAGCGGCCATCGGAGGACGAGAGAGGAGGTTGGGGAGGAATGTGGACCAGTCCTGGAGTCTGGGGAAGGCTCTGATGAGGCCTCTGTGCTGGAGGCAGAGAGGGGGCCAGGGCCATCTGACAGTTATCAGCTTCCTTTAGAGTCAGATATCAGTGGGGCAGAAGAACAGCTGGAGCCTGTTCCTAGTGTGCACATGCTTAATTAGTTTGTTACTCTCAAAGACTCCTTGCCAAGTACAGTGTGTTGCGTTTTGAAGATATCAGCCTGGCAGCTCTCCAAACCAGATAAGGTTTGTGACCATAAATTCACCTTTGAAAGACTGTGCAGGATGTGAATGAGAAGAATTCACATTAACCTAATAAAAATGGGGTTTTGTTGGGACTAGGACTCTGCTTCGTGGTTTGGGGAAGCCTAGGTCAGAACAAGGAATGTAGGTTTGTGTGAATGGAATACCTGGGTGCGCACATCCATGCATACAAAGGAAGGCTACCAATTCAGCAAACAAGACCCATGGGGAATTGCAATCCCAACACATGGTGGAATGTCAAATTGGAGAAAGCATACCTGCCGTAGAATACATGCTTCAGTTTATGAAGGATTTTATTTTAGGGCAGGTATCCTTTTTCCCAAGGGGAAAAAGTTCTCATTGTTGCCATATATTTGCTAGTATTCAACAGGGTGGGGCAAATATATGTATATATGTTTGTTTGTTGGTTGTCCTTTCGATCCCTATTTTGTCTAATTTTGTTGTGTTTTTGTAAAGCTTATTTTCCACGTTTGCATTTTAACTTTTGGAATAAAAATAAAATGTACAGAGGAAAAAAAGAAGACATGCTTCAGTTTGTAACAGGTCTGTTTTCCTTTCTCTTAGTAGTTGTTTAAACTGGGACAAATATGCATTAAGAAGGCATGTTGGCTCAGTGGTGGACCACAACATTTCAATGCATAAGGTTCTAGATTAAATCTGTTAAAATATCCCATTAGCATTCTTGGTTAGATTGGGGACTGCAATATGTTAGACCAGTGGTAGTCAACCTGGTCCCTACCGCCCACTAGTGGGCGTTCCAGCTTTCATGGTGGGAGGTAATAGCAATAGCAGCAATAGCAATAGCAGTTAGACTTATATACCGCTT